TTTGTGGCCAGGATTCGCCTCTGGGTATCCGTTTCTGTAAGCTATACCTGCGGAGTCTTTCAGTCCTTGTATCATGTGCTGATGACTGTCACTGTATAGCTGATCTAAATTCCGCCTTCCCTGCTGGTACTAATGTCGCCGCGACGTGGGACAAGACACTCGCCTACCTCCGTGGAAAGGCCATGGGTGAGGAATTCAACGACAAGGGCGTCGACATTCAGCTGGGGCCTGCTGCTGGTCCTCTCGGCAAATACCCCGACGGTGGCCGAATCTGGGAAGGTTTCTCTCCCGATCCGGCTCTCACTGGTGTACTTTTCGCCGAAACTATCAGGGGTATCCAAGACGCGGGTGTGATTGCTACTGCCAAGCATTACATCCTGAACGAACAGGAGCATTTCAGACAGGTTAGCGAGGCCCAGGGATATGGATACAATATTACGGAGACTCTCAGCTCCAACGTGGATGACAAGACCATGCATGAGTTGTACCTTTGGTGAGTAACTGACACGTCAAACGTGGAGCTTTGACTGACCCGGAATGCAGGCCCTTTGCAGATGCTGTGCGCGGTAAGATTTTCAGCAGACTTGACTCGCGATGAAGAAATCACTGACGAACTGCCTATAGCTGGCGTTGGCGCTATCATGTGTTCCTACAACCAAATCAACAACAGCTATGGTTGCCAAAACAGTCAGACTCTCAACAAACTCCTCAAGGCCGAGCTGGGCTTTCAGGGCTTCGTCATGAGTGACTGGAGCGCTCACCACAGCGGTGTCGGCTCTGCCCTCGCCGGGTTAGATATGTCGATGCCCGGAGACATTGCCTTCGACGACGGCCTCTCCTTCTGGGGCACGAACCTGACTGTCAGTGTTCTTAACGGCACCGTTCCGGCTTGGCGTGTCGATGACATGGCTGTCCGTATCATGAGCGCGTATTACAAGGTTGGCCGTGACCGTCTTCGTGTTCCCCCTAACTTCAGCTCCTGGACCCGGGATGAGTACGGCTGGGAGCATTCTGCCGTCTCCGAGGGAGCCTGGACCAAGGTCAACGACTTCGTCAAGGTGCAGCGCGATCACGCTCAGATCATTCGCGAGATTGGCGCGGCGAGCACAGTGCTCTTGAAGAACAATGGTGCTCTTCCTTTGACCGGCAAGGAGGTTAAAGTGGGTGTTCTCGGCGAAGACGCTGGTTCCAACCCGTGGGGTGCTAACGGCTGCCCCGACCGCGGCTGTGACAACGGCACTCTTGCTATGGGCTGGGGTAGTGGTACTGCTAACTTCCCTTACCTTGTTACCCCCGAGCAGGCTATCCAGCGCGAGGTCATCAACTACGGCGGCAATGTCTTTGCTGTGACTGACAACGGAGCTCTCAGCCAGATGGCGGATGTTGCATCTCAATCCAGGTGAGTGGCGGCCCTGGAAACGCGTTCTCTGAACGAAGTATTGACCATTGCAATCAGTGTGTCTTTGGTGTTTGTCAACGCCGACTCCGGCGAGGGGTTCATCAACGTCGACGGCAACGAGGGTGACCGCAAAAATCTCACTCTTTGGAAGAACGGCGAAGCCGTCATCGACACTGTTGTCAGCCACTGCAACAACACGATTGTGGTTATTCACAGTGTCGGGCCCGTCTTGATCGACCGGTGGTACGACAACCCCAACGTCACCGCCATTATCTGGGCGGGCTTGCCCGGTCAGGAGAGTGGCAACTCCCTCGTCGACGTCCTCTATGGCCGTGTCAACCCCAGCGCCAAGACCCCGTTTACCTGGGGCAAGACTCGCGAGGCTTACGGTGCTCCCTTGCTCACCGAGCTTAACAATGGCAACGGCGCTCCCCAGGATGATTTCAACGAGGGCGTCTTCATCGACTACCGTTACTTTGACAAGCGCAACGAGACCCCCATTTATGAGTTTGGCCATGGCTTGAGCTACACAACGTTTGGATATTCTCACCTCCGAGTTCAGGCCCTCAATAGTTCGAGTTCGGCATACGTCCCGACTAGCGGAGAGACCAAGCCTGCGCCAACTTATGGCAAGATCGGTAGCGCCGCCGACTACCTGTATCCCGAGGGCCTCAAGAGAATCACCAAGTTTATCTACCCCTGGCTGAACTCGACTGACCTCGAGGCTTCCTCTGACGACCCGAACTACGGCTGGGAGGACTCGGAGTACATTCCCGAAGGCGCTACGGATGGTTCTCCTCAACCCCTTCTGAAGGCTGGCGGCGCGCCTGGTGGCAACCCTACCCTTTATCACGATCTTGTCAGGGTGTCGGCCACCATCACCAACACTGGCAACGTCGCTGGTTATGAAGTCCCTCAATTGGTGAGTCGAGTCGCAGGTTCCTTGCCCTGCATTTTGGCTAACTCGCTTTTAGTATGTTTCCCTGGGTGGACCGAATGAGCCTCGGGTCGTTCTGCGCAAGTTCGACCGAATCTACCTGGCTCCTGGGGAGCAGAAGGTCTGGACCACGAATCTTAACCGTCGTGATCTCGCCAACTGGGATGTGAAGGCTCAGGACTGGGTCATCACCAAGTATCCCAAGAAAGTGTACGTCGGCAGCTCATCGCGTAAGCTGCCTCTGAGAGCGTCTCTGCCCACTGTCCGCTAGACGATGGGAGGATGAAATTGTACAGGAATTTTTGGTTCATGCGATGTACAGAGCAGTCGTCTGCTTCATTATATGATTTTAATGACGATGATGAGCTAGTCTAACCTGAGTGTCCATCCATACTAGTAAACGATGCCTTACTGATGGTGAATCCACAAGCTCATTGACTACCAAGCTAGCCCTTGCTTTGCTTTTTTGCCGTGGAGTAGGTATGCATACTATAGGAAACTTTGTCTGACCCAGAGTCTCTCAGCATGATTCTGAAGGGCTGGCTCTGAGAGTATAATGTCTCTTTCGGGTCGGGTTGGTTGACGCCCCACAACTTTGTCGAAAGGTAGCTCTAGTTGTCCCCTGGTGATAGATGTTGTGTTGTTGTCCCGGTATAACCGGATGGTTGGATGGTTGCAGAAGGGCGAGCTGCAGGGGAAGACCCTGTGATTATCTCCCAACGCTGCATGATGACCTCGAGATTCGCCCGGTTAATACCAATGGTGACAACAAGTTTAACTGTCGATGTAGGGGTCTCCAACCACGCTCGAGCATCCAGAGCAAGGTACCGAGCAGATCCTGATAGACTTACACTGACTACGAAGTTTAGCTCAGTATTGTATTGTGCAGGACCTCAGGAGCAGTCCGCTTCCTTTTTCCAAGAGCCGATGATCACGGTGGCCCAGCGCCAAACTGGGGCCCCAAGGTCCATTCTTCCTGTGGAAGTCGGAAAGGAGCACAGCTATGTGTTTGGGCACTTCTTAAGTAGTGTCCTCCTGTGTTTTCTGGTTCACTCATTCTTGTCAAATCCTTTATCTTCATCCCCTTTTTTGATCTGGCGGAACAGCCGTGAAAACCAGGTACTGCTCGCGGGACTTGTCTTGTGCAAGGGCTTCGCGCCGGCTCTCCAAGGTCCTGTGTAAACCCTGACTGCTGGTAATGTGACGGTGCGGTAGTCCCTCGACTAGTTTGCGCTGCAGCGTCGCCAGACTTGAGCCTATCGGTTGAGCGGGGCTCCGAAGATGCAGATTGTGCCTGGGGCTCCGCTCCTTAGGGGAAGTCTGATATACGCCAGGTCCAAGAATAAGCGGGAGATTTGATTATCTGTCAAGAAAGCCGAAGCCGCAGCCGTTAGCCGCTATTCTCTGCTCAGACCATTCCTTGTGGGTTGGGGTTCGGATTAGTCATGGGCCTTTTCTGAATTATCTGCTTGATGTTGTTTGTGACTAGTTGGATACTTTGCATGTCGACAGCTTGGTGTTCGTGGAGGTATGGGGTGTCGTGTATGACTCTTTCCAGTTTTGACGTCATCTGCTGCCGTCCATGTGCCGATTGATACAGGTTCAAAAAAGATGCAGAGCCGGTTATATCGATTTGACAGGTCAAGGTCTGATGTATCATATGTTCCGCGTCTCCCTTGACTGCGGAACCAGTCCAGAGACAGGAGAGGAACATCAACTATCTCGATTATCCGAGCCTTGACCTTTCTTGCAAACTTCGACGTGCTCGAGCGGCACTACCTGATGAGGATAGAGCCCGTGACCTTCCCAGGAAGACTGCCGGTCTGCAGGAACCGATATTTTGACTTGAGGACCTGATAAGGTACGTCGTAGTGTAGGAGGAGCCATCCTTACCGTAAACAGGGTGACACAGGCACCATATCATTGGCAACAAGTTCGGTTGGCAAAGCGACCTCATAAAGCCATACACCATCTGCTACTGCTCCGGGATTCGGTTTGACAGAATTTGAGGTACTTGGTGCTCTGGGGGTTGTGCTGGATGAAGGACATTGACCAAGTAGGATGCAGTGAATCGCTACATGCTCATGGCATGCATGTTAGCTGTCAGCATGGCCGACATCAACGAGCATAAGGATGCTTACCATCTCTTTACTGTGCGACTCGTCCTGGCTGACTGGTGAGTATACCAGATAGACGTAGCTGGCTGAGAGCATTAGCATAATGCTTCTAGAAGGCATGTATGCATCATTTTATGAAGGTTGAGGCAGTAGACTAATGAGAAATTCGTATGACCACGTGTAGAGAATAGGGAAGACGCTTCCTTATAGAATAGTGAATCAGATTGAGAAGTTAATCTACATCGGAGAATAAATACTAAGACGGACAGAGAATAGAAATGGCATTTCTGAGTTCACTATCTTAAAATGTGAATATCTTGTCAGATATCTAGAGCTCGGAGCCGTGTCATACTCGGCTATTGACCTTCTCATGAACTCGTATTCACCATGAAATGTCCATCAACGAGTCGGTGAAGTATGGAGGTCCCCTGGTCAGTAGGCCTTCTCGACCGACCGACGGGCCGGTTGTCCGGTTCAGGGTTCACTGCTGTGGCAACAAATTTCTGTCGCGACAACTCTGTACATGCCTGCAATCCCAACCCAAAGCTCATCCAAACGGAGTGCGGTTCATCCGCCGGGCGATCTCCGTCCATCGCGATGCGCCAGCGTGACTGTGGCTGTCACTGTCACTGTACCCTGAATGCAGACTCATACTCTGGCTATAGGCACTACCTCCCACCGAAGGATCCATCTCAACCCCCGGCGGGAGGGGCGGAAGAGGTCTGTCAAAGTAATGCCGTTCGTACGGGGGCGGGAGGTCGTCCGGCTGCGGGAGGGCCTGGCTATGGGCAAGAGTCACGTCCATTGATCGAGAATGCTGCAGCGGAGGGGGCCGGAAGGCGGCCGCGGACCAGTTGACGTCGCCCCATGTTGACGAAGAAGTCGGGGAGCTGGCGGGGGAGCTGGTGACTACCCAGATTCTCTCGCTTTCGACCCAGGTGAGTCGGCGAGGACGGCGCTGCGCCGGCGAGAAGCTGGAGAGATCTGAGTTACTGTGGCGATAGCTGTGGACGTGACTGTGACTGTGTCTGTTGTTAGGGCTGTGACTGGATCGGACAGTGGAGTTGAGCTCGACGGCTGGGCCTGCTTCGTCTCCATGTCGGGGCCGTGCGGTGTGGCGGATGCAGGCCGGGCTGAGATATCTTGTTCGGCGAGGAAGGGCATGAGCGTCGGCGGACGCCGGTCTTTGCAGGAGGTGGAACCCCTCTGTTTCTGGACTGGTGAAGAAGGCATGGTCGAGGTGTATCTGAGGAACAGACATGGTGCAGGCCGGGTCGGCGAGCCGGGGGTTGTGGATCGGGGGGCCTTCGAGTGTAGAGAGATCCATGGGAAGCGAGTACTCCGTACACAGCCTGAAATCGACGGAACAGGGGTTCTTTTTTAATTATCGCTAGATGCCGTCAAATGGGCCCTGAGATCGAACGAGATCGAACCCCACGAGGATTCATGCAATAAGTGGCGCGAGAGTACGAGGCCCGAGAGTCGATAGAGCCAAAAATAAGGAGCGAATACGACGCGACCCAGATGGCAAGTGGATCGGCACCTTTGAACAAAGTTAATATGTCGTGTGTTGCAATCAGAATAGAAGTATACTTCTGTGAGAGCATGCCAGCATGAATTACCTATATATGTTGTGGGTGAAGGCCATAATCATCCTGGAGAGGCAGTGCGACAACACAACAACAAAGAAAACCAACAGACAATAAAGGGAGAGACTCCCTGCGCCTTTGATCGATGTCGGTGTCAGACTGGGGCCCCTTGACCCCAAGCCAAGTTTATGGACGCCATGCCATGCCATGTTCGTGGTATTCCCGAGTCCCTGTCAGGCGATCTGGGGCTCGGATGGATCCCTTGGACAACCGTCGGCGGAGAACCAACAAGGCACCTCGCGTTGAGAGGTGTGAAAGCGAAAACGACAGTATTTTGGCCCCGTAGATAGATCAAAAGCGTCGGCCACAAGCGCAAGGCGAGAAGAATTCGCTAAGCCTCTTGTTGGATGGAGCAGGTTGATATAAGGCGCACCGTCATATGAGATCGGATCTCAAGTTCACTTGACTGCCAGGCGGGTAGACAACAATCATCGAGCGTGGCTCTAGTCATGTGTCGAGTATGAATGGATAACTCACCGCGTCAGTTTCGCTTCTTTGAGTATACGAGGTCGAATCGCAAAGGCCAAGAGAAGAAGAGGGCTGTTGTTGTTAGTCGCTGGCATGAATCATGATATGTTGGATAACAATAACCAATTGAGAACACTGCCACAAAACCAAGTATTTGATTACCCTGCCTCAGCATATAAACGATTCCCTGACCCGCTAAAATATTCTTTGTCTTCAAAGCCTCAATTAATTCAGCCTTACGTTGTTACTTATCTGGCCTTACCGCAGCTTCCTAACTTTGCGTCTGCTGTCTCTTTGTTACTATCTAAGGAGTGCTGACTTGGAAGAACATTTCTTCGAGCGTCGGAAGAATAAATATCAACTTTAGAAAGATGGATTAAAATAGTGAGAATCGCCTGGTGTCCATCTACAGAACACTCCTAGTGTTCTGTGCCTCCCACTTTTGACTCAGCCTTCTAGAAGTGACTTGTGGTGTTTTTAAGTATTCGAGATGCTACATGCACATTCCTCCATGTCATTGATTTATGAATGCGTAAATAAGATTAAGCTGCCTTGCATCGGCCTCATAAGAGGGCGATCGCTTATTTGTGTCTCGGCAGTTGCTGTACATCGTTACGAACCATGCGATCATTCCCAAGATGAGGCATGATCGCCTTTTCTCTCTAAAGTAATACTAGACGCAATCAGACGATGAACATTACAATTAAATAGGTTCAAGTTACATCATCATATTGACAAGTCGAGAATACAATGTAAGAAAAAGATATGTATAAGCAAGGATATAAACTACTCTCCCAAAAGAAAGCCCAACTATTTGACACACACCCGTCACTCCATCATGACAAGTTCATCCAGAAGCACTGTGCTGGAGCCTCGAGTGACCAGGGTTCACACTATGGACAAGAAGTGAACTGCTCTAAGCCAGGAAGAAAGCGGCAGCGGCGGCAGCACCAGCGAAGACGAAAGAGCCGCCGAGGGTGTTACCAGCGCCAGTGGCGAGACCACCAGGAGGAGTAGAGGAAGGACTGTGACTGGTCAGTGGATATTCAGTCGACGAATCTGGTGAGATGAGAACTTACGTAGCGCTAGGAGTAGGCTTGCCGGTGTGAGCAGAGGGGATGACGGGGACGGAAGTGTGAGAAACGGCACCGGCAGAGCTGCTAGGAGTACCGACAGGGACGGTGATGTAGGTGACGGTGGGCACGCAGGTGGTCACAGCAATGACGGAGACGCTGGAGGCGGCAGGAGCAGTGTTGGAGGGAGCAGGGATGACGGGAACGCTGCTGGCGCTGCTGCTGCTGTGGGCGGAGTGAGTCTCAGCGGGAGCAGAAGCGGTGCTGTGGGCAGCGGAAGTAGCGGTCACGGCGTCAGCACCCTGGGGGGTGGAGGTGGAACGAGCAGGGCAGTTGGTGACGGTGGGAGCGCAGGAGGTGATGGTAACATCCTGGGTCTCGTAGACGGTCTGGACGTCACCGTTGGGGAGAGCAGCGGCAAGGCCGGCGAAGAAAGCAATGGAAGCAGCAGTGAAACGCATCTTGAATATTGGTTGGTTGATTGGTTGGTTTATGTGGAAAAGTCACTGGAATTAGCCGTCAAGGCAATTTTATGTCGTGGTTAAAGAGAGTGTGGGTAGTTGGTTTGGTTTGAAAGAGTGGCCGACCGAAGTCAAGTTGAACTGATGCTTGAAGCAGGAAGAAAGTCTTGGGCTTGAGAGAAAGAAACAAGAAGAAAAGAACGAGGGAACGACGGAGGGGGCGCTGGGGGCCTTTGTATGAACGGGGAGATTAAACCTGGAGATCGTCTCAGGGGAAAAAGGCAAAGCGAGACTCGACCGTGGCGGGTGGAGAGCGAGGGGGCCTGCACCACCAGCACCATATTATTATTATTATTATTATTATTGCAGTACTAACTAGGTACAGTAAGTCAGTAACGGAGTGTTCTCTATTCAGCCTGTAAGTTTCCTCCGATAATTCACTAGATTGGAACGGCTTCACTAGATCTAAGTCAATCAATATTACGGAGTAGTATTGCCAGAATTATGAATCTCCTGACTAGCAATCTAAGATTAGAGGATTGCGCCAAAGTCGCGATGTACATCTGGATACCAAGGTTGCTCCATAATCTATATTGAAGTGAAGGTAAACAGTATGAGATAGGAAATGCAAATGTAGTATTACACAATGTGTTTGGATTCCAGTTCGCTCATCCTCGCATATTATGTACTGTATCCTCATGGTACCGCTAAGTACGCTCGTGGGATGAATTGACAGAGGCTGGCCTATGGTTGGTGGAGGATAGCATCACTGCATCAGCCGGCCTAAGACAGTGTCCTAGTGCTTAGCTGGTCGGCCATGAGTGCGACCCTGCGTGGTGTTGATCCCGCAGTTCCATTGCTTGTTCGAGTATCGCCGACCAAAAAAAGCGGTCCAATCGTCGTTCCTGAACCCCTGAGTCTTAGGAACTAGCGAAGTTAAGAGGCTTTCGACTTACGTAGTATTTCTCGGCATTCAGCCGTTTTCTACTCCGTACACTCCTTCTATCGCATTCTAATAATGTCAGGTTTCTTCCCATTACGGACTACACCTTTCATCAACCTACTCTCCATTACAATAATGGGTACAGGACAGGAATGATAGAGTAATGAACCCGCAACGACCCATCTCATCTGCCAAGCGATACAACGTTGGGACTTGGGAGTACCTGTTTCATACTTTTCCGCTGTGTACCAATCAGAATTCATCGTTAGCCGTTCCTGAATCCGTGGTCCACTCAGAGGCCTCGTTAGTTTTCCCGCTGTGGCTCTCCAACCCCGCTGCGTGTCCAATGATCGGAGACCTAGTGGAGCCACAGTGCTCCACCTGCCCCTAAGTCCTTTATTTTGATTTCAATTCAATCTGGCGGTCTCACTCAGGGACGGGCAACAGACAGTCAAGCCGAATGATTCTGGTTCCTGAATTTTTAGGAACTCTGAATCTGAACATGTCCGGATCCAGCACTTCAAGGGATGATCATGTCCAGGAACCAAGGGTCTGTTAAGAATAGTACTGGGGTCAACTTAAAATCAAGCACGATGACCTCGTGAGTCAGTAATCGCCCTGAATTGATGCACGTTACATTGACATGCTGTGACGCAGTATGCCAGTCAATGCACAGACCCAATGTCCTTTTCCAGAAATTGGCCGTGAAATGCACCCCTGCCAGGGACCACGTCTGGATACCACTAACAAAACACTGACTTGACTGAAGTCTGAGCGAGAGCTTCGAGACCAGGGCCTTTTGAGACGCCACAGTCACACTTGTTGTATTGCTTAATTAAAGCTTAGTGGCAGGTATCTATCTACGGTAGCAGTACTACTGGTATTATTTGGTCTTGTGAGCAGAAAAAGAGAATCATTAGGCTTAGAAAGACAAGCCACAAAGGAGAGACATGGCTAAGATGTTAATGAATAGCTCCTCTGGTTACCCCTGACTAAAAGCGAGCATATTCAAGACTATAGCTTTTTACTGCTAGGTGAACCGGTGATAGGCGTCAAAGCCAATTCCTCTGAATTCAGAGCATGTACTTCGTAGCGATGTTCTATTTTCCGAAGCGATGTACCTGGTTCCTACGGCTAATCCACCAAGTTCGAAAGGATATGATAAGCACGACCAAGACTATCTAATCCTTAGGCCTGGATCTGATGGAAAAGGGGTCTGGTCCATCCTTCTGTCAGCCGCAAGCAAACTACCGAGTACACTATCTAGTCCGCTAGTCAAGCCAATGTTGCTTTGATTAGAAACGGGTTATGGATTATGGAGAGTGGTCAACGGCGTCGATACTATAAACAGAAGACTCTTTAGTCACTCATTGACACTCAGAGACACATTGAATCACGGAGTATTTCAGGGAACACAGCAATACGGTCTGTGCCTATCCTAAGTATTTGTAGGACATGAGCAGGGACATTGGTCCACAGATCAACAGGGGCAGTCTACCATTCTCTGCTTCCCGAACCAGTCTAGAGAAGCTTGCAAAATTTTGTACTGGCATTGAGTTCCATTCTTTAGAGCCAAACAGATTATGCATAACAATATTATGAATAGATGTCCCAAGCGAGTCAATGACGAAGTCGCTATATTCCGCATGACCATTCCTTTCTTGCAAGTATCTGGACGATCTTCGAGTAGTGGGGATTGCAAAGGCTCAACCGAGGATCATCAGAGCCGCGCGTCTATGATGTAGTAATTGGAGAATATACCCCTCTAATAGCGACCAGGACAGTAGGTAGCTGGCATAAATATGAGGTAGTACTGTAGAATCATCCAATAACATCTGTACAATTGCCGAGGATTGCCATTATTTCTTCACACTCGTGAAACTTCGCTTTATCGTTTCCTTAAGAGAAGAAGAGATGGACCATGTTGTGTGTATTCTCGGCATGCAATGACCTCGGTGGCTATTTTAGGCCCTGTGGGGCCTGGGTATCGGAAGTAGGGATTATGACATACGGAGTAGTCATTCTCACCTCCACTGCTTGCCGTTGATCATGAAGAATGTTAATGGATGGGATGTCAGAAGTAGATTGAGCTCTTGTGCGATCAAGATTGGAGATCCAAGTCCACTGCCGGTGTGGCTTTTTAGATGAATAAACTCGCAAGGCTGAAGTTGAAGCTGAAGCAGCACGTGCGTCAGTTGAAACAGAAGACCCTGATGGGGAGAAATTCCTCTATTCGGACAAGTACTACGGAGTAAAAACGCTGAGAATCCTAGGTGAAAGACCAAAGTCTCTCAATCAGCAGGAAGAAACCCTGACCGAGTGCCCATACACATTTGCAGACTTGCAACTTGCAACTTGCTGCTCGCTGCTTTTGTTGATTCAATGTTGTGGAGCCTGACCCAAGCAACTGCTGCCAGCACAGCCATCCAGGACCAAGGACCCATCCTCACAAGCCACAAATCCGAGTATTTTAAGTACAAGGAGACTAACAATCTGAAACACTCACAACTTGAGGACTCGGATGTCTCATCTCGGAATAGGATAGGTGTAGAGACGCCACATTCGCCAGATTGGGGAAGGAAGGTGGCTGAGATGTTGTTAAACCGATGGGTGACCACACTGGCTGCTTCGGCTAGGGCTCATCCTCTCCACACTTGCAGCCGGTACAGAGCAAGATACCTGTCGATATTCGATGGTCGACAGCATATGAACTCATAAGCGAGAGGTTTAAGATTTTCAATCCAGGGTATGATGCCATCAAGCAGAAGATCCGGGTAGATGATGTGGAGTTTCATTGACAAGATTTTTCGTGGATGCCTAGATGCCTGGGGCCGAGGACAACACATCGAGACCATCACAACAACAGCAACAGCATCAAAAATTGTCACGGAGTTGAAGACGATGCCAATAATGAAAGACACCATCTAGTGATCCTGATGAACAAATTTAGATACTATAACTATCTGGATATAGCCGGTAGGAGTATTAGGTAGAGCTCGCATATTTATAGAAGTGGTACTATCTAGGCGCCTTTCGAAACACACTGGTCCCACCGATGCGATCCCCCAGCGCGATTGTGTCTGTTGGCTGTGTCTTGTGATTGGCATTGAATTGTGATAGAACCGAGTAACAGCGTATAACATAGGTAATTGATATAATAATATAAGCGTCATATCGCTCATCTAGCTGTGGATGGTAAATATTCGACAGTTCAAACGTCAAACAGCCAATCCAAGCTGACTGACACTCTGTCAGCTGCTCTTCGTGTCATCAATCAATAATTCTTTCGCTTCCCCGACCGTTGTTGGCCCATCCCCATCATCCTTCGATCCTATCCTCACCCACACCACCCTCATCAACTCCTTCGTTCATCCAGTCTCTTTCTTTGATTCTGTTCAAAAGAAGAGAAATACCAACGTTCGTTTATCCCGATCTATCGGTGTCATCTATTGTGTTGTCTCTTTGATCTTACGCCTACTACTGTTATAGCTATTATTCTTACCCCTCCTTTGTTCATCCGCCGCGTGTATCTCGGCCCCACGGCCACCTTTTCAATACCCCGGTGCTGCTTCGTCCACCCTCTTTTATCCATCTTAGTTCTCGAGCTTCCCATTCAAGGTGTCCAACTCAAACGTCGCCGATCTGGCTACCTTGGCTGATCCCAACGAGTTGTTTTTGCCGGGGGAGAGGCAAAACAACCTCGCCATGTCGTCCTCGCCCGTTCCTCTCCTCAGACCACCAGTGCCTGGCAATCGCAGCAACGGCAACGGACCTCGACCTCCGAAACTCACGCTGGGCATCCCTCCATCACCGAACAGCAGACCCGTCGATGGGAATGCCGTTGTCCCAGCAGTCGCAGCAGCTGCCCCCAAAGCTCCCCAACCTCAGCGACCTTCTACCCGTCCCGCTCCTCCTCAGCTGCGACTCGCGACCCCCATGGGCAGCAGCTCGGAGGTCCCCCAGGAAGTGCCCCGACTGGCGAATGGCAGACCGGCGCCTCCGCCTCTGGCGACCACGGGGTTGAACGAGTCGACCGGACATTCGAGGTCCAGCAGTT